TTTTAATAAAAATAAAAACCCACTCCTATATTTATAAATTACAGAGAGATTTTTGTGTATGTTAACACGTTTCCAAAAATATTAAGTTAGCTGTTATTTCACCTATAAATTTCCTGCTCTGTGGGGAATTAATAGGCATTGTTGGTGCTTTAAGTATCATCCTTCCATTGAAACAAACCTCAGTGTAAACGCTATTATCAATGTTACTGACCTTCATCCTCGCATGGGGATAAAACGCTTCAACCGCTATTTAACCAGTAGATGTATTTACAGCGCCGCCTTCAGGACTGTTTTTATATTCCCAAAAGGGGATCCTGTGTGTATTGGTACCATAATTACTGAATGAGTAATTACGTGTTTTAATAAATATTTATACATCTCAAACTGATGTATAGGCAGAAAAAAATATCAATTTTTAGAGCATAACATCGTCTCTGCTGCACTGCACCTCGCAGATGACCGCAGATCTCTAAGTCATAAGAAACCTGGCAGTGCAGGTGATCAGCTCTGTGGGGTTATTAAAGGTACGCGGACAGAGTCGCGTTAAATGGGCTGCATGGTGCGGAGCTCTGACTGTATAAACGATGGACGACGCGACAGCACTTTCTCCCATGGTGCAAAAATGAAGCCAAAATATTCCCCTTGTGGAAGCTGCCATATTGCGCTTTTGGAGCCAGAGTCTGCGGAGGAGTGACTTGAGGTGGAGCGACTGCGTCACGCTCCCACCCACACGCCCGCTGGACGTGACCGCAAAGTCTGTATTTCTGAATGATTCCTTAGTTTTTGTTATCCATTTTTTAACAGATGACATCAGCTGCATACTCCACAGAGACCCAGAGTTACTGTTAATATCAAAAATGTAATGCTGTCCTTTGAGATTTTAACAGAAGACTGTGAGTGTAATGGATCTAAAACTGTTTAAATCTTCAGAGCACTCTACAGCCTGGTAACATGAAAACTTTAAAAACAGCAGCAGAAGGTTTCAGTAGTGTATTGTAATTTGTTCTTTTCATTTAATAATAGAATTATTACCAGCTACACCCACCATGGGAGAAACTGGTGAGAGAGACCATCAGGACCAAGCTGAGTTTCCTGGGTCTAGAGGTTTGGAGAAATCCAGATGTTCTGTTGACCCACTGAGAGAGGCATCATTTCAGAAACATCAGAAGAACTGAAGTTCATCGCAGGGATCAAGGAGGACCTCATGATCTTCACCACCAGCTCCCTTACAGAGAAATCTTCAGAACTCCACTGTAGGCCCACTCCAGAAGAGACCTTTGGTTTGTTTAATGTTATAAATACTTGGACTGAACTCTTACATAAAGATATTATATTCAGTCTTGTAGAAATATATATATATATAATAAAAAATATATTATCCTCTCTGGTCACTGTGACTCTGAATTATTTTGTGGTAAATAACACACTATTGGCAAAAAAAACAGTGAAAGAATTCCAGATCACTAGTTTTTAGTCATCAGGTTTTATTTAATTGTGTCAGAGAAAATCTCATGTGCTCTTCCTGTGTCTGAATGCATTCAGTGTTTAAAATAGAACCTCTGCAGGTCTCAGATCAGCAGCTTTCTGAAACACCAAACTGCTGATATGTAGTGACACACACGGTTACATGGGTGATTAATCCTTTTGACTTTTTGTCTTTAACTTTATCAATAAAACAGCTGCAGCTTTCACTGACAGCACATGTGGTACTTTAACCTTTGTACTGTTTTTTTTATCAGTTAATTCTGGAGTTAACATGAACATGTTGGATGATCTGTCTGCTTTCACTGGGTGGTACAGAGGTCTTAGTCTGAGGGGAGGTCCTGTAATCACGAAGAGAACAGAATCATCACAAACTGAAATATAAAGTTTATCTCTCAAATATGAAATAAAGCTGATCCTTCTTGGTCCTCACAGAGTTCTACTCTTTCATTCTTTCAGTTCTACAGTAATTAGAATCAAACTTATGGGAAAGGAGACCCCTTGAATATAAATGATGAGAAATATTGATAATCAAAGAAAGAATATTTGGAAAACAAAAGTTCGAGGAGAAATTTGTATTTTATCCACTAACACGGAGGAGGCGGGGTTTATGACTTATACTGCAGATCTATGTTGTTTGAGGGGAAAGCTGTCCGCGGCGCTGTCTTTGGTGGACTTGTCTGTCTCCGTGTCTTGTGGGCCGGGTCATGACACTTCAGGGGTGGGTCTCCTTCAACAAACACGCAGCTGGATTTGCGTATCTAGCATCCCGGAGGCTGGCGGTTCCCAATAACTATAAGCACGTGTGTCTTTTCAGTCAGTCTGCAGCTAACATGGCAGAGGAGGCGAAGAAGCTAGCTGCTTACGCCGCCGTGGATAACCACATTCAGGTACAGCAGGTTCTGTTACCGTTCACTCTCTGCTAGTTTGTCGCTTACTATTAACAGGATTTGAAACAGCAGTATATAGTCTTGTCTGCGTGTTTAGATAACAGCGTGCTAGTGAAGTTGGCTAAATATACAGCTAGAAGACCAGCTTAGTGATTTGTTACCGTTATCTAACTTGCACGGTTTGGAAGCGAATTAGCTGAGTTAGCTAGCTAACTTTGCTTAGCATTAAGCAGTGCATGTTACATGTTGCAACACATAGTAAGCCGCTAGCTAAGCGGTCGCTGTATTTGACAGAGCCGTACACTGCTGATTTAACACGGCATGACCGCTCACCAAATGTCACATTAAAGTCTCTCCGGTATCCATTTGGGCCAATGATGATGATGAGGGGCGTCCATAATAACCTTTTACTGTTGTGCAATTACGATTTGTATGTACACTCCTGCACCTCCGATCGCCTCTGTGTTCAGGGTTTAGAAAATCAATCTCATGAAGCAAAACGCTGCTGAGCAATACAGAGCAAACAAGTCTGCTTAAGAAGCGAGCTGTCTGCACGTTGGGTTGAACAGAAGAGCCCAAACCAGCAGGTCTGAAGCACGTGCACGTGTCCAGGCTCTTCTAGTGGGAGGGGCTTAGATGAGACAGGAGAGAGCTTTCTACCTGCTGAAACCTAAAATCTTGGTATCTTGTGTTTTAGTCATTTTTAGTATGCCAATACATGAATTAAACGCTCAGCAGTCCTAACAAAGTAGATTCATGATATGATCATTGTTATTATGATTGCAGTCAATTAAACCCTTATGCATCTTTTGGTGTTGTTTGTTTTTCTCCACACATCCTCAGGATATTTAGCCTCACTGCATTTGTTTGACTTTATTTGTGTTTTTCTAGAATAATCAGGTTGTTGGTGTGGGCAGCGGGTCAACTATCGTCTACGCTGTGGATAGATTAGGTGAGGGAAACCTGTACGTCAGAAGATAATACACCAACTTTGAGCTCTACAGGAAGATTTGAAGCTCTGCTCCAGTTGTGACACAGAGCACAGTTTTTTCTGTCTTAACAACACAAGCAAATTCCTAAATGCAGCACCATTTGGGTCTTTATTAGAATTCATAAAATAGAAGCACTAATGGCCCTTGTGTTTTATCCCTCTCTCTTCTAGCTGAGAGAGTGCGTCAGGAGAAACTCAATATTGTTTGTGTTCCCACCTCCTTCCAGGTTGGTTTGCATATTTCACAACAGTGTGGAGCAATATGGTTTTGAAACATCATTTCCCCTTACTTAAAACTGTGTTTTTCTTTCCTCTGTGCTTTTCTTTTGTTTTTTTGTCCCACAGGCTCGTCAGCTGATTCTACAGCATGGCCTCACTCTGTCAGATCTGGACAGGCACCCCGAGGTATGATGAGCTCATTGGAAATGAATCTGAAAGCCCTGATTTCCTGTCTATCTCTACTTACTATCAATAAAAATAAAAAAAAAAGGGCCAAAGCCCAACCAAATAAATAAAACATGATTGGGAGAGCTGACTATAGCATTTTCTACATTTAGGGAATGGTTCAGGAGTTTCTTTTGTATATACCGGTATCTGTGCTCAGTGGTCTGCTTGCATAAAAAATCGCCGCCTTTGCTTTTGCAGCTGGACGTGGCAATTGACGGAGCAGATGAAGTGGACAAAGACCTCACGCTGATAAAAGGTGGAGGGTGAGTACAGTACAGATGTCTGATTGCAAGCAGCATCTGTCCTGTTTTCTGTCATTCATCCTCTTCTTCTTCTTCACCAGTGGCTGCCTGACTCAGGAGAAGATTGTAGCCGGCTGTGCTAAACATTTTGTTGTAATTGCCGATTACAGGTGTGTATCAGTGAACCTAAATGTCAAATGTTAGAGAAAGTGTGGTCATTCAGAGGTGTAGTGTTACGTATTGAAGTAGCAGAACACAGATTTCCACGTGTGCACTGGAGTTGTTGCTTGTTTCTAAGCACATGTAAAGACTGTAATAGCTTTATATATTAGACAACTATAACTAGGAAAAATGGTCAAACTTTAGTGATTTATATATTTGCTTATGAGATGAATCAGAGTTCTCTACACATAACAGGCAACTTGGCAAAGAATCTATTTTAAATGGTATCTTTAGACACTTTATTCGTGTTTCTTTAGCTGAATCGCTGATGATGTTTGTACCATCCAAGTGATAACCATTGAGCTTTTAAACATGGCCTATCTTGCCTAAGAGTTAAGGCTGTGTTGACATGCTGTTTTGAATGTTGTATGTTTCCATTTTCTTAGCAAAATATAAGGAAATGAAAGCGGGTAGCTCAGCAGCAATGTTCCCTCTAAGCTGCGCGTGTGCGCAATTGCGCACTGCTGGCACGCTCTCCGTGCACAGAAAATCTGTGTTGCGCACAGAAAAAAAAATCTACGCTTAATTGAAATTAAAATTAATACGTTAACAATTCTGTTTTGCAGTGTTAGTCAGTAAGTGACTGGCTGCTCCCGTATGGGATTAGAAGATGCCACCTTATTCCATAGTCCAGCCAATGATGCGATTCACATTCGTATATACGCAACTAATCAGCGTCATTGACAGGCTATGACAGCGTCCTTATGTGCCGACACCGGTGTTTTAGCGAGCAAAGCAGCTGATGTGGAGTGAAGCCACGTTAATGACAACGTGTACAACCATTGGAGATGTGAGCAGGACAGACGGAACAACTGACGGAAAAAGTGTGGACTTTATACCAGTTTTTGAATTGTGATGATAGGCCACGTAAAACCAGAGTTATGATAAATATATATGCAATGTTTGGTTTCCTTGCTAAATACTATCGTTGTTTCTATTTACTGCGGGAGGAAACGGTAAAAATGGCGTTTTTATAAGGAAAACGCTGGAAAGCGCTCTCCACCTGTGAGCAAAAACAAAACCAAAAAAAACCAAAAACCCACCCTTTCCTATTGGTGGAAAAATGTACCATGTCGACCAATAAAAAATGATATGGCAACATGGCATTTAGTTGTTTAAGAAGGGGGAAGTTTTAGGAGTGACGGCGTATTTTGAGATGTGAGAGATTTGAGACGTTTAGCGCAAATCTTGTGTAGTTAGTGTGTAGTGTAGTCACTAGTTTTGTTGTGTGTCAGAACAATGAGGCGACTGCTGAGTGTTACAGGTGATACATCTCTTGTTGTCAGGCCTGCAGGTATCAGGCTGTTGTTCTCCTTTGTCTCATGGTGGACAGAAATTATTTTTGGAGTGGCACAAATAGTTTGTGTGGCATCAAATTTGATGCAGAACAGCTGATTGTTCTGTAAATAGTTTGAAATGTTTATTTAAAAAATGCCTTGGCTGCATTTTTAGGTAAACAGCTGCACAAACTTTGTTTGCAAAACTCAGTTACTTTTTTGGAGAAGTAACTATATAATTAATTGCCCAACATTGGTCATTATTTACTGTATTTTGCAGAGAGAGAGAGTTACAGACTCTCTCCCAGACCACAAACTCATAATACAAGTC